GAATCATTATTTAGCTCCTGTTTGTCAACCATTCTTCAAAAACTCTTCTTCTTTTTTTCTAAAACTTATTTTCAACCCATTTAACCATACATTTTTCAAAAAAGAATTATTCCAAAACTAATTTCCCTAAAAAAAAAAAAAAAAGAAACCTCTTTTAATGATCATCAAACAAGGCTTAAGTTGTTGAATACTCTCAGTGAAAATAGTTATCGGCGGACTCCCGACAGCTTGGCTGAATAGTCATCCAAGTTAAGCGTCGAAATTAATTATTCTCTTTATTAAGGAACCAGATCACTTTTATGTTTGATAAAACTCTGTTGCAATATTCAAGGAGTATCATACAAAATATCACGATTATCAGTTGGAAAATCAAAAAGCAGTGTAAGAAATAAAGCGCTGGTATTGCCTCACTTCCTTTCACCTTGAGGTCAGAGATTATCTGCTTCTATATAGAATGGAACTTTTTGACTATGACTAGGCTGAGAGTCTAATTTTTGTTGAGGAAATAGATATCTTAGTTAAAGATTCTTAAAATCCTCTTCATAAGAAATAGATCTTTCTGTCCTGTTCACTTCCACTTTACACCTAAAAATTTTGAAATAAGTTTTTTTGTGCATGCTTCTTGTGAATCATGCCAACGGATAGTTTTTGGGCCATGCACATTTGGAAACATGTTCCTTCCTTTCAAAATAAAAAAGCTACAAGGAATTTTTTTTTTTTTTGGTCTTGGCATTTTGTTGGTACCTCCACAGCTCCACTTGAGATTTATCTAATACTTTTCAAAATCTACACAAAAAAAAAAAAAAAAAAAAAAAAAGAAGGATTTAGCTCGTCTAACAATTATTTAATTAGAAACTCTTTTATTTTTGTACACATTTTTAATAACATATTTATATAATAAAATCTTTTGTACATAAATCCAAAATTTTTCCTACTTTTTAACTATGCATTCTAGTAAAAATCACTATTCAAAATATTATTTTTGAGAAAAAATGGCCATCAGACGACGTCTAGTGAAACCATCTATTGTTACCAAAAAATAAATAAATAGAAAACTGTATATGTAAGAATTCACATGCTATGTATCATTACTCATTTTTACTATATTAAAAAAGAGTTAAATACGGATGGAATAATCCTAAAAAACGAGTTGTCTAACGTGGGATGAGAACTGTTACATAAAATGCCTATGATAGACTATGCCTATGAATAACTTTATTCCATAATTTATTAACCTTTGACAACTCGACAAATCGTATGGAGATTTTATTTTTTTTTTTATTTTTTTTTTGGAGTATAGCACATTAATTAAACAAGCCGTAAAAGCAAATGTTTGAGAAAGAATTCAAAGAGTTTTTGACAAAATTTACTCGTACATATATGAATGCATTAATGAAATTCGTTTTCTTGGCTCAAAATCATCTCGTTCGTTCTTGAATGCATTTTTAGAGTAAACACATTTTTTGTCACTAAACTTTTAGATAAATTTCATTTGAGTTATTTAAGTTGAATTTGGTACAATCAAATGGAAATTACCAATCTATGAGTTTACGTTAATAAAATAATGTCAAACTTTTACTTGTCCATCACTCATTATTCTCGATTAATGCTATTCAATACCGCACGCCAAAGACCAATTTAGTTGATAACTATATGTCAATAAATTATAAATTTACTTAAATGTAATGTCACGAGATTTATTTAACTGAGCTAATGAAATGTGATCGTCTAGAATTGTACTCGAACGTCATTGATATTAGATGTTATTATTCTTATTATTCTTTGATGCATATTTGACGTGTCACTACAAACCACACAATTTCCCACCTCAAAAAAACTGTAAGAGTGCGTTTGATTGTAAGCATAGAATTTGTATGAAAAAAAAGTAAATTCTAGATAATCCAATTGGTTTGAACTTATTTGCATGGAAGTTGTCAATTAAATATGTTTGATTGATTTAATTTTCAATCTAGAAAATATTATATTTGTCCATTTTTTATTGGTAGGTAGATAGATGAGAGATAGTGAATTCGCTGAAAAATAAAATCATATTCCTCCTAAAGAAGATATTTTTCTTGATTTTAAGGAAAATATGGTCACGCGATCAAAAGTAAGAAAATATTTTTTATAGAAAAAAATATCAACCAAACAATACAAAAGTAAAGATTTAGATGAATAAAATACATTTTTCATAAGTAATATTGACAATCAAATGCACCCTAAAAATACCTTCTGAAAAACGTATCACGTTTTTCAGACTTCAAAGATAAAGCATCTATTGAAGAAGAGGCTAGCCACTCTAAAGAAAACAACACTGCAGATTATATTGTAACTATAAATAAGTAGCAGAAAACTTGGTGTAGTAATTTTGTTTACTAATACGCTTGAATTATATACTTTTGACACTAAGGCCCCGTTTGATTGCACGAAATTTTTCATGGAACTTGGAATTCGAATTCCAACTTCCACTTTTGGCCTGTTTGATTGACAAAATTTTCCAGGGAATTGATTTTCCATGAATTTCTAGGTACAACACCTTAAAGCGTGATTTTCCCCCTTTTTTTTCCTTGGGGGAAGGTGGTTTTTGGTTTTCCCCCTTTTTTTTTTTTTTTTTTGCTTTTTTTTTTTTTTTTAATTGTTGGCAATGGGAACAAATTTTAGGAATAATTGTAAAAGAGGATATCCCTGAAATTGACAATTTTCACGTAAAACAAAGTCAAACGAACATCAAAAAATACTTTTACTTCAACATTTTCCACGTGAAAAATTTATACAATCAAACACAATAATTTACAATTTCCATGAAAACAATTTCTAGGTAATTCAATTCCTTGGAATTCATTTTCTTTCCATGTAATTTTCCTACTTGTAATCAAACGCACCCTAAGGGAAATTGTGCATATAGTGGCAACAAGCCTACACCCTGTCAATGGGGGGAATGACAACATAGTAGTCTAACATTTATTTTATGACATGACCAAATAAAATAGTCAATTTTGCCCGAAAATAAATGAGTTGCTTGATTGCAACAAAGTGAAGTAACGAAAAATGCAATTTAAGCCTAAATATTACGGGAACTAATATAAGCTTTTTTTAAAAACATGCTTATAAGCACCTTATAAACTTAGGTAAACATACTCGAATCCTTGGGAAACAGTACATAATTCTAGTCTTGATGAGCCTGGACATTCTTAAAGCAACCAAACATGCAGAAAATAGGGATCAAGACTCAAGAGTCAAGGCTTCAGTTGAGCATGGATCTTGCGTTTTCTATTCAAAGAAATAGAAAGTGATCAAGCTTACAAGACAACTGACATAATGGGACTTAAACATAACTATCGATCACTCGGTAAAATGCAAATGTAAAGAAAACTAAAAGAAAAACAAAATTCGAAGTAAAAAGGACCAGAAAGGAGATGATTGTCGATTTTATAGTTTCTGTAGTCAAAAAATACCAATGGCTAAAGGAAACTTTCTTTCAACAAGGGAGGAAGCCAAAAATTGTTGCGAAACTAGGTTTATAGATCCTATAGTACAAACCATCAAAATCGAATTTAAAGATAATTTAGAATATACTTTCATGTTGCATCATTCCTGCCCAACTGAAAAGAACTCAACTACGATGATGTGTAATCTAAACGGATAAATCGTTTTTGTCGCATAATCTAAACGGATAAATCGTTCTCAATCTCCTCAATCCATGGGATTTTGCAATCACTTATCCAAATGATATTCAACTCTACCCGACCTCATTTTCTGTGGAATTTCTTAAATACCCATCCTTGCAGAGTAGGTGTAAGGATTCAAATTCCTAAGCACAGCTAATGAGGCAGTGATATTGTTTACAGAGTTTGAGTAGGGTCGGCTATGGCAGTGGCAGTGAGGTAAGGGAGGTGAAAGAATCCTTACTGGAGAGGGGGCACCATGCCGAGACGCCACCTCGATGGTGGCCCACCACACCCACTGAGGTGGCACATCCTGATAGGGAAGATTCTCTCGAGGTAAGGTGGTGGATGAAGCAGTAGGCGCAGACATGTGAATGATGTTGCACTGTCAGTCTGTCATCAAGGTTGTCAAATTATTAGGAATTTTGCTGCATTGCTGGATTTTTTTTTTTTGCCCGAATGGTTGACATCCTTTCAATTGCTGTGGGTCCCGCGTAAATAAAATATCCAACAAAAAAAAAGTGGGCCCTGCCATTATGTGAGTTGGTCACCCCCTCTGTCAAAAAAATTCGATCACTATAACTGAATTGAATTATTAGCGTCTTCGAGAGCATTAGAGCAAACCAAAAGACTTAAGAGTGTGATGTCTATATATAAACATAAAAATAACCAAACGAGAGAATACCATCATCTTGGGGTAAAATAACTCCTGCTCTGTGAACTCATAGGGGAATTTCATGTTGATCACTAACTTAGCCAGAATCAATGAAGGTAACTTTTGCTGCTGGATTGAATCAATTAATGGGTTTTTGGCAGCTGAAGTGACGGAGTTCTTACAATTGTACTTTGCTGACATTATTTAGTTCCTTTTCTATTTGTTCATTTCGTTTGTATGGCTTATTTCCTTTTCTAGTTCTGTGTCTTACGTACCACATTTGTATGGAGTAGAACTTGAGTTTTTGTTTGATTTGTTAAACAAATTGATTTGGATTAATTTTCCAATTCATATTATCAATTTTAGCTACTATATTTGAGAATCTAAGGTTTCTTCATCTACTGTGATGATCTTGTTCACTTCACTACATCATTGAATGATCTAATGAATTAGAACCACGCTGGACGTCGGGGGCGCCTGGCCCGACACAGACGCACCAATTCAGCGCCCAAGAAGATTTGTTCAATAAATTATCCAACAAAGCTACACACACAGAAAAATTCTCTGTAGAAATAATACAGAATACACACATGTAGGGATGAATGAGTTATTTTTTGCAATATTTTAATTCACATGGGACCATTTGTAAAGTTTCTGTAAACGATTTTTCTCTACAACCGGATTTTTCCTAAATTATCACATCCCGTACCGTAATGTTGTCTATGCACATTAACATGTACACCTACACAAAGACAGGTACACATTTAAAAATAAAGGAATCAGCAAGTTTATCATAAACAACAGAAATTGCAACGCAAACTAAACATTCATAATTCTGTCTGATGCAAATTCATTCAAGTAGATAATAAGAATGAAAGATACTTCAGTCAATACCAGACAAAATCTAGATTAGCAGCTGGAGTTTGCAGCAATCCATAACAAGTTCTTAATAAAATTGCAGAAAATTTCACTCATTACAAGGAATCCCTAGACTAACAACTAATTGCAAAGGAAACATAAGAATTTGAATTCAAACCGAATATGAAACAGATAATGTTAAATTACAGAATGATCTAGTAACTAAAATATTAGAGCATCTGCAAAGGACTATATGTTTATAAAGAGCGTCTTAGGCATAATAGAAAGCATTTTTAAATTTAGAGAGTAATTTTTTTATACACTCCAACAAGTTTTCTATTTTGATTCTTTATTTTGTTTTTTCCAATAAACATTAAGGCTTTGTTTGTCTACTATTCTATCATGTTATTTTTTCTACAGTACTCATTTTCAACCACATATTCTTTATTAAAATAATATTACACGTAAATAAAAAAAATTTCATTCTTTTCAACCACACATTTCAACATCAGCCACTATTCCATAATATATTATTCACAAATAATGGGGCACAAACAAACACTTAATAATTTCTCACATGTTTTATTTAAATATATGTATTTTTATATATTAATGACCAATCAAGTCAAATGTAGAGTATTGAAATTTGTAATGTTTAAATGCAATCGTTGTATATTAAAAATAGAGAGTGAGTTTGGTTCTCTAAATTTGGAGAGTCAAACATACTCTCTACTTTAAAAAGTTAAAATAGAGAATCTCTTAGAGCTCGTTTTTAAGCAATGACTCTCTAGAATAGATAATATTTTGTATTTAAAAAGTCTTTTGAATATGATCTATAATGACTACACTACTTCGTGAACAATAGCAAGAGTAGCTTTTATGGCGACTATATTTTCCTCAAGTCTAATTTGTCTTGCTGCTTGCACCAGCAAATCTGCAGAATTTAAGATACAGCTTATGGGTTATTCTGAGAACTTCGTTTCTCATTTCCAGAATGCATATTCCCACTGACATAGTAGCCTTTTACTGATCAATGTAAAGGATTCAGCTTTTTCCTTGAGAAAAATGCTTTTCAAGAAATAGTAGTAAAGTTCTCCTCTTGAAATATTTTTTACCTTGGAACTGGAGAAACTAGAATCAACAAGCAGCCTTCTAGTGCTTAATAAAGATTAAAGAATAAAATCACTTGTCCAGAGTTAAAAATCGGGGAGTAAAGAGACAAATTGATAAGTGAAAAAATGATTAGATGTTTTTGTTTTAATTTTTCAAATTGTTGAATCATGCGTCGACACGTATCCTGTCTGGATTTGAATCTAGATTTGAGTTTGGATGTGTAGCATGATTGAAAACTAAATTCTGTTCTCGTACAAATTGCAAACTTTGACGGGTCGATGAAAAACAACTGAACTATGTTCCTCAAACCTTTCGTATTGGTCAAATTGGTCCTCAAACTATTCTAAACGTTGTTTGGGTCCTCCAGCTATTTTCCTCACTTAGTTTAGTCCTCCAAGTTTTCGGATTCGTGAATCCTCTCCTCAAACTATTATAAATGTTAATTTGTTCCTTCAGTTTTTATAATAGGAAAATGTCGTCTTCTTAACTATTTTGATTAGATAATCTGATCGTCCAAAAATTTAGGTTCACTAATTTCGTCCTCAACGTTTTTAGAATCGTTAATTTGGTCCTCAAATTATTCCAAACATTAATTTCACTCTCCAACTACTCAGATAAGCTAACTTGGTCCTCTATGTTTCAGATTCATCAATCCGATCCTCAAACAATTCCAAAAAGTATTTTGGTCCTCCAGTTTTCAAATTCATCAATTTCTTGGTCAAACTATTGCAAAATATTAATTTGGTCCAACTATTCCACTAAGTGAATTGGTCCTCCAATTGATCAAATTCTTTTGTTTAATCATCTTAGTTTTCTTATTCGTCAATTCTTCCTCAAACTATTCCAAAACATTAAATTGGACATCCAATTTTCAGATTCATCAATTCTGTTCCCAACTATTCAAAAAGATAATTTGGTCCAGTAAGTTCTCAATTAAGTTAAATTAGTCCTCACCTATTTTTATTAATTAATGTAATCCTCCTCTTTTTTTGATTAACTAATTTGGTCCTCAAAACTATTCAGATAAGTTAATTTTATTCTCCATGTTTTCGAATTCACCAATTTCATCCTCGACCTATTCCTAAATGTTAATATAGTCCTCCAATGATGCTACTCAATTTATAATTTGATCCTCTAATTATTCAAATACATCAATTATGTAATCAAACTATTACTGAATGTTAATTTGGTCCTCCAACGATTCAGATAAGGTAATTCGATCCTCCAATTATTCAGATTCATCAATTCAATCCCCAATGTTTTCAATTTGTTCCTTCAATTCTTTGGATTCGTTAATTTAGTTCCCCAAACTATTCCACAACATTACCCAAACTATTCCAAAACATTAATTTGGTCCTCTAACTATTCTGCTAAGTTGATTTGGTCCTCCAAATAATATAGCAAGTGGTTTTGGTCCTCCAGTTATTCAGATTCATTAATGTTCTACAATTTTTTCAATTCATTCATGAATTTTTTCCTCAAACTATTCCAAAACGTCCATTTGATCTCCTAGTTTGAAATTCATCAATTTGTTCTTCTTAACTATTCCCAAACGTTAATTTGATCCTCGAACTATTAAAATATGTTATTTTGGTTCTCCAATTATTCAGATTGGTTAATGTTGTCCTAGTTTATCAGAATCATCAATTTGGTCCTCAATCTAAGATTCTTTAATTCGGTCCTCAATATAATTTAGTCCTCTAAGATTTCCGTTTCATCGATTTGGTCCTCAAACTATTCCAAAACATTAATTTGATCCTCCAACTATTGCATCTGGTCGTTATCATCCAGCTCCTTTTTTTATGCATCATTTCCAACCAAGGATGTTGGTTCTCCATCTATTAAGATGCATTTTTTGGTCCAACAACTGAGATGCATTATCTTG